TTTGATTTATATTTTTTTATTGATTTATTTACTAAACTTATGTCTGGACCTGTAACACTTAATTTACTTAGTGTCAGGCTTATATTTTAGTCAAGCACATTATATAAAAAAACTTCAGCTTGATCAACAAGGATTTTTCGTTATATTGCTTATGTGTGATCTTTGAACAGGGTAATCCTAATATAACTGCATTGCGTATGTCTGGCTTAAAATAGCTCAAATTATTTAATTTCGAAGCAAAGAGGTCTGCTTCTTCTGCACTCGTTTCTTTACCTACAGAGTATGTCTTTATCGAGCACACCCCACTTACTCATTGTTCCTAATTTATCATTTATTTTGGTTTGGCGCTGCGAATGGACTTATTGTTCTGTTCTGTTTCAGCTTTCAGGTTAGATTAGTAAAATGCATGCAGAATATTCCATTTGCATATAATGCAATACTATTCATATACATATGGAATATATATAGTATAGTATAGAGAGATATGGGTTGCTCTCTGGTCTGTTGTCAACATGCACATATGGTCACGAGCAGGGAGCACTCTAATCGCACTCGGAACAGCTTATGTTAATGCCGGCCATCCCGACCAGTCGAAACCGAAATCCATAAATGAACTCTAATTGCAAATTTAATGAAATGAAAACAAATGGTTGAGCGGGCGCTTCAGATGCGCAGATGCTGCTATCCCGCATTTATAATTAAAGCCAACAACAACAACAGCTGCAAACACAATTTCGGAATATTTTATAGAACTAATAAATAGTGCAAACACGTTCGTTGTCCCCAATTTATGCATTTATTAAAATCATAATTGTATATAAATGTTTTATTTGTTTTTGGTTTTTGAAAAAAGATGAGAAGAGAAAAGTGGAATATTTTATATAAGCTTCACACATTGGAATTGGGTAAACGGTGTCAATTGTTTTAGAAATATTTTCTATATAAGATAAAATTTATTTCCGTTACATATGCACAGTTAAATTCCAAATATTTATTAAATTTATGAATGTAATGGCATAATAGGATAATGATTAATCAAATTTAAAATAAAGTAAAGTTAAAGTGCTCTAGTCACGAGCAAACTCTTTTAGGGTTTGAGAACTTGAATAGATTGTTAAAACTAAACATGAAGCTCTTAAGCGTGAGAGGATAGATCCAGGAAGTAAAGCAAACCTGCAATTGAAGCACCTACTAATACTTTTGAAATCATTGGGCTTTTGAGAGTTGCAAGAGACACACAGACAGACGGCAGGGCACACAGATGAATTGTCGCATAGCCAGATCGACTTTCCCTCTGAGCGACATCGCTTAGTCAACTACGTTTCCTGCTATATACCACATTCTTTTTATCAAAAACTTTATTCCCAAAGATAGGATATTTCTCTCTTTTCTCTTTCTCTTTTCTCACTTTTACTTTCCTTCTCTCTCACTCTCACGCTCACTTTACTTCTTCCCAGCTTCTTCACTTTCTGTCTCTACTTTCAATTTCACACTCCCTCCCTATTTATCTGTCTCTTTCTCTCACTGTCTGTCTCTCTCTCTCTCTATCTCTCCCTCTCTCTCTCTCTCTCTCTCTCTCTCTCCCTCTCTCTCTATCTCTCTCCCTCTCTCTCTCTCTCTCTATCTCTCTCCCTCTCTCTCTCTCTCTCTCTCTCTCTCCCTCTCTCTCTNTTGAACATTTTTAGACCTGGAGTCTTCAAATTTGTGTTGTATATAAAGTTAATCGATACAAAGATTTTGTAATTTACAGATTTTGGATACCACGCCCCCTTCTCCCCCAATTTGTAAAAAACGCATTTCAAGTACTAGAGACTTGTGCTTTGGAATGTACACACATATTTACCATATGATTACACTCTGAAAGTTTCATTAAGATCATATGTTTACAAAAGAAATTATTCGACAAATAAATTCTCATAATATTGCCCACACTGCAGCGCAGCCCAAGCGCAGTCGCTGCTTACTGCGCAGTTAGCAGAGCGCAGGCTTATGCGTGCGTGTGGATGCATCTGTATGTATGTGTGCATAAAAGAAGTGCAGAATGATTAGAATATCAGATTAGAGGGTTCAGGGTATCTCCTAGTCGAGCAGTCTCGACTAGAGCTTTCTTACTTGTTTTATTTTATTTTTTATTGGAATTTGATGCCCGTGCTGCGGTTGTCCACACTTTTGTTTAGCAATTTGGCAATTTGAGTATTTGATTGGTTTTTCGGTGTAAAAAAGAAAAAAAAAACTAACCAACAGCCCCAATAAATAAAAGTGGAACCGAGAAATTGACAGCGTGGCTAATAATAACCATCAAAATATGAACCTGACACGAGGCAGTAATTCGAGACCCTCAAAGCCAGCAAAAATGATTGCCAAAGGCCGAGCCAATCAAATGGCAATGCAAATGTCAAGGCAATCGTCGAGCTGCTGCTTCAATCACTTTTTGCTCATACTCCAAGCAATTCCTGTTTCGCTTGGATTGCCCATTTTAATTATATTCCACAGTTTGCCGCATCTCATCTAGCTTCCCCTTTCCCCTTTGCACTTGCAAAGAGGCCAATTTAATTCTCTTTTGCCTATGCTTATAAACTCTGACAGCCAACTACAGAAATGACTTTTCGATTCGAAGTCTAGTTGACTCGAGGTAAAGTTATTCAGGTATATCACTAAAAGCTCATTCTTAAATATATGAATTGAAGGCATATAAATCAGAGAATTTTCTATTTTTGAATCGCTTCAAAACGTTGAAGCTCGCAATATCTACAGACAAAGCAGATATAGGTTACCATATGAATATTGCTCATACGCAATGTTGTTCAACTTTATAAATTTGCTTAAATCTAAAAAAAAAACCAATTTACCCTACATAGACTTTATTAAGCCTGGCTTATTGTATTTTGATTATGAATTAATCGATTGATTTTCAGTGCCACACAAATGGTGAAATGAGGGATTGCTATATACACATTAATTTCAGCTCAGTTCCCATTTGATTATTTGATTTTCATATTAGCCGAATTTAATTAAGTATTTAGTGATTCTAAACTCTCTAATCTAATCAATTTATATTCAAAATTAAGTCATATTGAGCTTGTGTTTGGATGAGATTCAAGCACATATTTGATTTTGTAAACACACAATTTATTGTATCAAAAGAATGTTACATAAAATTCAATCAAAAATTTTCTATTTAAACAGCTCGTCCCCCTCGCCTTCTTCTGTTTCCATTGAAAATGAGCTCAGAGTACATAAATCTCATAGATAACTTCAGATTTTAATCAGTTATTGAACCCAAGCAAGAGGCATTTAGTTTATAGCTATTGTTAATTTGAATTATGCCTGAAGCAGAGTTATTTTAGACTTTATCCTAATAATAAAATATATATGATATAAACATAAATATAATATATATGAGATATGTGATATATATTATTACTCCTTAGCTCTTTAGCTTCATTTGGCTTCATTGATTCATAATATTATTTTCATGCCATTTGTCAAGAAAATACATCGCCAAATCTGAGTAGGATTAGCTTAATTACAATAATATTTTATTCCTTACTCCTACAAAAAACAGTTATTGCTCATTTGGTAAAGACGTGAAGGGAGCTACTTACATTGCCATTGGGTGACCATTTGGAAATGCTGCCAACGAGTCCAACAGCTGATGGCGTTGCAGCAGTTGCTGCTGCTGCTGTTGCTGATGCAGATGCTGTAGCTGATGCTGTTGTCGCCGCAAACTGATGCGCATCGCGGTCGGCTGCAGGGGCAGCAGCAGCCACCGCTGTCGACGTGCTGCTGCCGGTGGCGGTGCCGGTGGCTGTGGTGCTGCCGACATTGGAGGCATTGCTGCCGCTGCTGCCGGCGCTGCTGCCGCCAACTGTGCGATTGAAATTTATTGATGTTGTGTTGCCACGATTTTCGGGGGTCCGCGCAGGAGTCCGAGCAGGAGTTACCATGTGAGGATGCGGTTGCGTTTTAGATTGGCGTATACCATCGTTAAAAATATTTACGATTAAAAGAAAATTGCATCCGTTGATTGGATTGGATTGGATTGGATTGGATTGGTTATTGGTTCCGTTTCGGGTGGTTGATGTTGTTGTAGTAGTTGTTGGTGGTCGTATTGTTATGTTGATGAGATTGATTACGATTACGCGTTGTCCGCACAGCAAAAGTCAGGACAGCCGGACAGACATGGAAAGTAAATGTCGGAAAAGTAGTCATAAGAATTTGATTAAAGTTCAACATGCACTATAAAATATCAAAATGAGCCCCAAAAGTCGAATTTTGGATACACTTTAAAACTATCTGAATTGGAATTCGAGTTGAGTGATGAACAAAGTAATTTCCATCTTGATGAATATCTGTGTTAATAACTTTGTTGGCCAACTGCTTGAGCTAGCTGAGCTACTCGTAGAGTAAGGGTACTTACCATATTGTGAGGGTATAACATCTGGATCACGTTCATCCTCGACCAAATCCTCAGATGATTTCGTTTTTATGTCCGTGTGCTGCCAGCGCGGCTTCTCCAGGTTGTTGCTCTGCAAAGTGTCATCAAACATTATTAATTGCATGCGCATGGCAAATCAGCAAAATCGCTAAAGTGGAGAGTGGAAAGTGGAAAGTCGAAAGTGGAAAGTGAAAAGTGAAAAGTGGCAGCAGGTGGCAAAATGAATCCTTCTTGCCTCACACTCACCTTGAAGACGTCGCCCGCTTGGGTGACCACGCCCGCTGCCGTCGCCTTGTTGCCGTGCTGGCGATTGCGTCGCAGATTGTGCACGAATGTAACCACAAAGATGCGTATCGCGATGGCCACCCCAATAATTATGATGGTTAGAACGCTGCCAACAATCACCGGCGACAGCGTTAGCGTCACATCGTCGTCTGTGTGTTATCGGTATTATTGTTGTCATCAGTTATTGTCGTAATTGCAGGTTGACAATCGTCGGTCATAAATCATCGTCAATTTTAGATAGATTGCCATCGGTCGTCGCAAATAACACACATATACATCATGTTGGTGTGAGTGTGTATGCCATTTCCATTCAATTTAACGTTTGACAGTTTTATTTTTAGGCGATTCGTGTGAGCAGCATATGAAAATTAGAAGAATTTAGTAATGTGAACGTGAGTTATATTTATATTACAAGACACGGTGCACAGTGGAGCGAGTTGCACAAAATTGTGGGTCAAATATAATTATATGTGTTTTGAAAGACTGCTTGGCTTGGAAAATATGATTAAATATAATAGTATATATTTGATTGCTTTGCTTGTTAATTGTATTAAGTCAACTGCAAGACTCGACTTGAAATTGGAAAAATAATGCCTAGTTTATCATTATGCCGTTAGATTAGATTTGGGAATAAATAGGATTACTAAGACTATAATTTCAGCTAATCAACGTGTTGAAAATTAATCTAGTAGGGGAATCCAATCCAAATCCAAATAAATAAAATTTGGAAAAATTTGGCATGTTTTTATTAATATTGTTGTTTTATTTATAGTAATTATTATTATTTTTTTTATTTGTTTCACTTAA